AAGTGCAGGAAGGGAGGGCTGTGGAGCACAGTGCTGGGGCCCAGGGACCGGTGTCTGCTGGGAGTAGAGGGAAGCTGCCTGAGAGGGGCAGGAGGTGCTCACCTGGCACCTAGCAGTATCTGTAGAAACGTGTATGGGGGCACCCAGGTGGCACAGTGGGTAGAGCACTGGCCCTAGAGTCAGGAAGACCTGAGTTCAAATCCGGCCTCAGACTTATAACATGTACTAGCTGTGTGACTCTGGGCAAGTCACTTAACCCCGATTGCCTCACTAGAAAAAAAAATGAGTATCAGGATGATGAAGTCACATTTATAGTGAAATGATAATAGTTTATATTATTTATAATATATAATACATACACAATATAATAGTTTATATTGTATTATAAATGTTTATAGTGATAAACATTTATCATGAAATAGTAAACTTCCATCCTCCCCAAGTGGAATCCTACTGGGAGCAGGACTGCAAGTCACAGAGACCGTGCTCAAGTGCCTTGGGGAGGGCGGCTCCCAGGGAAGCAGCTTTCCTGGCTGATCTGTGAGGTTCCGAAGTGAGTTCTGTTTCCATCACCTTGCAATTCAAGGTTAATGTTTTGAACCTGTGTGCTTAGATGGGGAGCTGATTATCACTCTTGGTGAGGAGGGGGAGTGCCAGTACCATTGTTATCGGGTCATCTGGGTGGGGGCTTTAAGCCAGAGGAATAAGAGGTCCCTAAGATATACCCAGGACTGATATGCTGGGAGGAATCCAAGGTTTTAGAAAGATCTTGGTCTTTGTCAGGGGAAAGGGATCATGTGAATAATAGCTAATAGCAGCTGGATGGAGTAGTGAAAAGAGCACTGGGCTGAGTGAGACAGACCTGAGCTGAAATCCTGCCCCAGCCGCTTACCAGCTGTGTGACCCTGGGCAAGTCACTTAACATCCCTCAGCCTCAGTTTCCTCATCTGTAAAATGTAGATAATAACAGTTACTCCCCAGGATTGTTGTGAGGATAAAATGAGACAGTGCTTGGCACACAGTAAGTGCTGTATATAAATATTTATGGTGATGATAATGATGAACAACAGAAAAAGAGAGGAGCTATGAGCCTCCAGCCTGGCAGAGGTTGGGGAGGGGGATGAGAAGGCTGGAGAAAGAACGGATGGAATAAAGTGCAAAAAGAAATTGGCATTGCTAAAGCCAGGATGAGACACTGGAAGGATAGAGAAAGGCGAAGCATAGAAGCCAGTCTCAGTGTCCTACAGAATAGTCAAAATTGGGATACTTTAAACAGAGACAAAATGGCCTTTGATACTAGTCAGAGACTAGAGAGCTGTTTTATCTGGCTCTGATCCTGGGAAATCCTGTCTTCTCAGTGAATGGGGGAGTTGGTGGCCAGAAGTGAAAGCTGGATTTCTACAGAAGCCAGAGGGATAACTCTGAGGCTTAAATGGGAGGATAGAACTCCTTTAGAGACCAGAAAGGAGGTTTAAAGGTGGTAGCTCTCCTGTGGCTGAAGGGTGAAAGTTGGGAAAACCACATGGGGGTGAAGACAGGTAGCATCAGGGAAGGCCTGCTTACTGTTCTTACCTTTACACTGTGGAGTGCTTTGGCAATGGGGTGACTCAAGTGTCTTGGACTCAGAAGGCCTGGGTTTGAATCCAAACCCTGTAGCTTATACAGTGTGTAGACTTGGGCAAATCACTTGACCTCTCTGAGCCTTGGTCTGCTCCCAGGTTAAACAGTGACAATAATATCAGCCCCACCTATCTGCGGTTATTCAGTGATTTTACTTGACAAAGTCCAAGGGGTTTTCATGGGGCTTTCTTGGCAAAGATGCTGGAATGGTTTGTGTTTCCTTCTCCAATGTGTTCCCATTTTATAGATGAGGGACTGAGGCAAGTAGGAGTTAAATGTCTTGCCCAGGGTCACACAGCTAGTAGTGTCTGAGCCTGGATTTGAACCTAATTTTCCTGACTCCAGCACCTTACTCTATCCACTGCATCATCTAGCTGCCCCTTGCCTCTCCCAATCTGGTGGTGGTTGTTGTAGCATATAACCGATGCTTTTTACTTATTAATTACTTTCATGTTTGGGTCTATGATCTCATCTGGGAGGATTTCTCCCTTCTCAAAAGAAGGCAGCCCCTCGACACAGTATCATCATTATGATGATCGTTATTTTAACCTGAGCTAATCAGACCAAATAATGTGAAAATATAGCTTGGGAGAGAATGTCAGTTGCATTTACTTTGTTCCGTGAGGTTCCTTTGAATTGCACTGAAGTTAAGTTGTACACCTCAGTTGTCTTGATATGCTGGACTTTTGTTTGTCCTTCATTTTTGAAGAGAACCAATGATATCATGGGGTGGTGTCTTGACTTGCTTGTGAATTGAATTTAAGCGAGGCAGAGTTGCACAAAGTTGACCAAGTCAGCCTCACACCCTCTTCTAAAGTCATCAAAGTCCAGTGGCAAGACAAAAGTAGATGGCCTTAGCATCTGATGCCTGACCAAGCTCTTCATCTGCCCATTCTGCCAGGGAAAGTCTTCACATGTTTGGGGTAGATATCCCCCTACCTCACCAACAGGTTTGAGGACTGTTGGTTACCCTCAACCTGGTTGAGCCTGTCTAGTGAGACTCTTTCACCAGGGTGTGGCCACTGGGCATGCTGCAGCTTCTTGGAGCCAAAGGTGAGAGTTGGGTGACAGGTAGACACCAAAGGTAGATAAGTAGCCCTGAAAAGGGCTCAGTGAGCCCTCACACCACAGGGTCCAGTCCTCCTTGAACATTTCATACACCCCATGTACTAGATTTCTACAGTGGCAAAGAACAAAGAGAGGGATTCCATTGGAGGTAGTCAGTCTATGAGAATGCACAGAGAAGAGCCAAGATTTGGGAGGAAAAAACTCCTGTTGGGTAGTGGTAGCCAAGAAAGAATTAGAGATCCATGCAGTAGTTGGTGGATGATGGAGGGGAACCCTTGGAAGGAAAAGCCCATTTCCTCAGACTTCTTTTGAAGGTATGATGTTTGCTGACAGCCTACAGGGTTAAAAAGCTCAGTGTTATGGGATGGGGGGAGAGAGGGGTGGGAAATAAGAGAAATAGCATATGGCACACTCAGTGACAGGCAGACTCCACAGGACAAAGGTGCCCTTCACAAAGGTGATCCATTTTGAACTTGGCCTAAATTTCTTCAGATCGTATGGTTTGACCTATTTTTTTTCCATTTAACTTTTATTGAGATCTTTTGTTTTTTATGTCACCTTTACAAAGAATGAAAAAGAAAGGGTGGGGAGGCATTTCCACAAAGCTATAGCCAACACTCCATTAGAGTCCCACAGTACATGAAATGCTCCATATCCACAGTTCCCCATCTATGCAAAGAAAAGGTGGCACATTTTCTTATCTCTGCTTTAGAACCCATTCAATTTAATTGAATAAAAGTGGTTCTGCCAGAACTGGGGCCCATAACTGCAGCAAAAAAGAAAAGAAAATTTATTGATTTCTGTAGAAGGTGATGCCTCCTCTTTCCAGGGTTGTGGCCAGGGTGGGGAGGGTAAAAGAATTAGGAGTTGGATTCCACCTTCTCAACTACTTAATTAATCCTGTGAGTAAGCCTACTATTAGCACCAAGGAAAGCCTGTCTCTTGGTCAGTTGTTGCGTGGTTGATGATATTAGCATCCAGAGATATCAATAAAGGAACTAATCTGTCGCTGTTTTTTCCCCCCTTCAATTCTGAAGTTTTCCAGGGAGAAGGTAATTTCTGTCACATAGAAAAATCATTTTGTAAACCCGAATTGTTACATTAGGAAGAGTACCACTTCAGATGCCTTTCTAACAACAACAACCACAATTCTGATACCCGTTTTTACAGAAAGCAGTGGAAAAGGCTTGGAGATGTTGACCTTGAGGCAAAACAGGTGGTAGGTTTCCATGGGAAGTCATACTGTAAAACTTCTCTTCCCACCTGCAAATACTTTTTTGTCAGTGAAATCAAGTAAAATAAACACCAGCGGTGGCCTTGAAAGGGGGAAAAGAAGCTGGGAAAAAGCAGCCTGAGGATGGTGGCTAGAAGGGGGAAGGTGCAACTTCTTTCCCACTCTCCAAGTTCATTGGTACTGTTGATCAGGAAGGCATTTTTAACACATGCCACCTGCTTGCTCTGGCAATAGTATAAGTTACAGGCTGTGCATCCCTATGAACCTCATTACCTCCTCTACTGACTACCCTGATGAACCCTTTCCAAGCTCTCATGATGAAGGCTTCCCTAAGCTAAGATCCCAGGGGAAATCAACCAGATTCACTATATTCTAGGGACAGTGGTGCTTAGAAGGATCAATAATTAAGGACTTAAATGTGCCAAGCAGTTGCCTTAGTGCTCAGAATTCAGATACAAAAGTGAGCAGTCCCTGTCCTCAAACTTACAGGACTTTCTAATAGGAGAGGCATGTACACACATGCTAGCTGTGTGATACTGGGCAAGTCACCTAATCTGTTTACCTGTTTCTTCATTTTACAAAAAGAAGATGATAATAATAGCACCTACTTCCTAGGGTTATGGTGAAAATAACATGAGATAGCATTTGTAAAGCATTTTGCTAAAGTACCATATATATGTTAGCTATTATTATAAAATCACCTGCTCCCTGTAGGATTCTATGTGTTTTTGTTGTTAGGTTGATTTAGTCATGTCCAATTCTTTGTGACTCTGTTTGGTATTTTCTTCCCAGACATACTGGAGTGGTTTGCCATTTCCTTCTCCAGCTCATTTTACAGATGAAGAAACTGAGGCAAACAGGATTAAGTGACTTGCCCAGAATCACACAACTGGGAAGTATCTGAGGCTGGATTTGAATTCAGGTCCTCCTGACTCCAGGCCCAGTGCTGTATCCACTGTGCCACCTAGCTGCCTGGTTATATGTGTACCATAATCATATTCCCTTTAACCCCATATTTCCATGTCATAGAAGGGATAATATCTGTCTTTTTCTATGGCATATGAGGAATGCAAGTTTTGTAACACACAAGGGCAGAGGGGATCAGAAGAAGAAGAAAGGAGAAAGGTGAACCAGGATGAAATGAAACCGATGGTGGAGTCTTGCCAACTGATGAAAGAACCTGCATATAGACAAGGTGGAAAAGGGGCTCCTGGAACTTGACCCTGACCAGGTGTTAGGAGGTAAGGAGGAAATACCTTCAAGGGCCTTGGGGCAATGAATGTAGGAGAGAGGGCCAAGAGCCCAGGGTATCTGGAGGAACAGTGGCTGTTCTTAGACTTTTTTTTAAAGTGTTCTTTATGATAAGAAAAACAAAACACTTCTGCTAAGTCAAGGTTCTGAGGCCTTTACTTATTATGAAGTAGGAAATATGCCTGAAGCCCAGCCAGAATGGAGCTGACATTCATTCTCAAAACCCAGAGCTAAGTGAATTCAACCCAGAGGCCAACTTAAGAGAGTTCAATTCCACAGTCTGACTGCTCATTCTCATCTGCTTCACCACTACAGTAGCTCAGCTGAGCACCTGCAACTGGTTTCTCTTTGTAGGATTTTCGATACCATAAGGAATGGAGGGGTACAAAGTCTCATACCAAGGTAGGGGACAGTCAAAAGATCTGGATTCCAAACTCTGGTCTGCTACATATGACCTTGAGCAAGTCATTACATCTTTATGAGCCTCTGATTCCTTATCTGTAAATGGGGAGAACATGTATTTGTCCTGTCTCTCTGCCTCTTGGCATTGTTGTGAGGAATGTGCTTTGTAAATTGTAAGGGCTAGAATGAATGTGAGCTGTTATCTTTTTTTTTTTTTTTAGTGAGGCAATTGGGGTTAAGTGACTTGCCCAGAGTCACACAGCTAGGAAGTAGTGTGTGTCTGAGGCCGGATTTGAACTCAGGTCCTCCTAAATCCAGGGCCGGTGCTCTATTCACTGTGCCACCTAGCTGCCCCTAATGTGAGCTGTTATCCTTGGATATCAGCATCTGGAGATGGCATCATGGTATGGTGGGAAGCAATACTAAAGTCAGAAGACCTGCACTCAAATCCTGTCTGTGTTACTTAGTGGTTGAACGGTTGAACAGCATCTCATTTTTCTAGGCCTTCTCAGTTTATTCACATGTAAAATGAATATAGAAAGTTCGGGGGGGGGGTCTTAACTGTTTTTCTGTGGGTCATGGTCCCCTTTGGCAGTCTTGTGAAGCCTATAGAGCCCTTTTCAAACTAAGGTTTTTGCATGCACAAAATAAGCAACATGCGATTACAAAGGAAAACTGATTACATTTGGACACATTGACAAAATACACACACACACACACACACACACACACACACACACAAACTAAAAACCAACATCCTAAGTGAAGAATCCTGGTTAGATGATCTCTGAGGTTTCTGCCAGCTCTACTAATGGGTACATCTTTAAGTACATCTGAAAGTCTGTGGCCACTCACCCAGCTTTGTTGTCGCAAACCTGGAATGATGTCTCCTTCTGAAGAAAACAATGGAATTTAATTATCTTTGATTTACTCATTTCTCTTCTTTGTGCCTCGATAAAGAATACTCATACCTCAGAGCATGGATATAAATGGGTAAAATAAGAAGAAATATTGTCAATTTGAGCCTTAGTGCCTCAGCTCTAATATGTTCAACTTACACTTTTTTACCTTCCTCTTTCTCTAATTCTCTGCCCCCCCCTGCAAAAAAAAGCCTACCCCTTTATAAGTGCTGGGAGGAAGGAAGAGGAAATTTGGGATCTGTTGGGTAGAACATCTGGTGAAGAAACAGGGTAAATTATTGGTAGGATAAATTGCCTCTATTCAGTAAAAAGTATTTCATTTTGCCTTTGTATCCCCCAGAGCCTAGCATGGTACATGGCACATAGTAGGTGCTTAATAAATGGATTTTGAACTAGGTTCTTGCTATTGGGGAAGTTGAGGCTGGTGGGTGACTCAAATTAGGAAGGTTTGAGCTGCCGTTGGGCTAAAGCTGATTGGGTGACCACACTAAGTCTGGCATCAATAAGTCTTTGGGGGAGGGGTTTCCTGGGGTGTGTGGACCAGACTGTCTAAGGAAGGAGCAAACCTGCCCAGGTTGGAAATGGAGCAGGTTAAAGCTTTTGTACCCAACACCACTGAGATTCATCCTGTGAGTGGTCATTATATTCCCAGGCTGGGTAAGATAAGGAGAGAAGAAAAAAATGCTTATTAATTGATTGGTTGGAAAAGCATGATGATGCAGAACTAATGAATTTCCCTCTTTGGATATTCAAGAACAGGGTTGATCCTATGAATAGATTACAGTAGGCAGTTACCTCTTTGTTGGAATTGAAGGAGAGCTAAAATTTCTCACTTCCAGATCACATAATACACTCCAGTAAGATGACCTGGGTTCAGATCCCAGGTCTCCTACTTACTGTATGAGCGACCTTGGGGAAATCATTCAACCTTAACCTTTTGCATCTCAGTTTCTTCATCTATAAAATGAAGGGGTTTAAACTGCATTACCTCCTCATACATACATCTTACATACATTCTGCTAATGCAGAATTTGGCATTTAGACCAAAGATATCAGGCAGCTGGTGAACACCAGGCCCCAGTAAAGCTGCTGACCATAGGAAGGAAGTACTGATCACAGTCTTTAGTTTGCCCTTCTTATGTAAGAAGCAGAACTCATATTTCCAGGTGCCAAGGGCAGTGCACACAAATATTTAGCACACACTCTCATTCCTATTCACACTCACACTTATGCACGTACCCAGACTCATAGATACACACCACAGCTACAGAACACCACGCAGTAAGCTAATGGCCACTGCAGAGAACAACAGTTGGCATCCTCACTGATGAAGGCTTACTGTTGACTTCGATTACAGATCACAAATCAAAGACTCGGCTTCAAGCCCTTCCTCTGAGAGATACTGGTGAAATATCTGGGACCAAGTTACTTAAGCTCTCCATGTCTCAGGTGTCTCTCTAGGACTAAAAGTTACAGGCCAGTTGCTCATCTCCATTGGTGGAGATGAAATGACAGGTCTAGACCCCAAAGCACATAAGAGCTTTCCCCTGTACTAGTCATTCAGGCGTCAGACTGGCTGGTTTGTGAGGAAGGAGAAGTAGTTAAAAGACCCTGGGAGTTGTTCTTTCTAGCTCAGGAAGAGACAAAGTGACTGTAGTTTAAGAATGGAGGGCAGAGTTTTCCTGGAGCACTGGCAGTTTTAAAATCTCTGTGGAGGGAGATAATTGAGAGATTGGCTGAAGGAGACAGAGCCGGATGACTGCAGCAGCAGCAGCAGCAGCAGCAGGTGGAGAACACTTTCCAGGAGACTGACTTTATGATTTGCAATGTCTGGAGGAGTCTTTTCTTTTGTATGGTTCATGATCCAGCTTATTACGAAAATCTAGGGGGGAGTTACTGATCTAGACCGACCTGGAGAAACAGCTGGAATAACGGTAAATTTACTCTACTTAGTTTCTCCCATTTTCCCCCTTATACAATAGGTAGTATGGCTTTATTACTGAGTATTTCTTTGCTAATAAATTTTGCTTATTATTTTAAAAAATGATGGTTTTTTTCAACAAAGATAAAACAATTCTGTGTCCCGAGTTGGTAATTTTTACATAGAGAGTAAGATATAAAGTGGGGGAAAGTAGACAACTGAGTACACAGATTTCAACTAGCTAGTAAGCCTCACTTCCAGCCTAACAATCAAAGGGTTGTCTGAAGGCCTGGAGCTTTGTGAATTTTATTAGTAATTTGTATTTTTAAGCTTTCAGTTTTGCAGAGAAAAGAAGCTACATGCAAACTAGCACCCTTGCCCTGCTTAAAGCTTTCATGAGCTAATCTCTTTATCTCTTAGTTGACTTGTCACTCTGAACAAGGGACCTTCGGGCTTTCTCCAATCCCCAAGGAAAAGAAGGAATGGAGAGGAGAGGCAGGACAAGTGAAAGTCATTCCCTGAGTGGGCCCCGGGGGTGGATTCCTTCTAGGCCATGGTGCCCTCCCAAGGGACATCTGCAGCCTATCAATCAGTCCATTCACATGTCTTGCTATTTCAGGCCAGAAAAGTGGATCATAGCAACTGGGAGGGAACTTAGAGGCTCAACCCCCTAATTTTACAGGCAAATAAACAAAGGTTCAGAATCTAGGTTGGGACACATCTAAGTCCACATAGCTAGTAAGTGGTTGAGGGAAAGTTGAACTCAGGTCCTCTGACTCCAGAGCCAGCTGTACGGTACCATAACTCTGCCAAGGTGGCATTTATGGCATATTAGATGCAGACTGGGTTATTGAGGAAAGGGAGGCAACTAAGCATTTAGCTAGCACCTACTATGTGCCTGGCATTGTGCTAAGTGTTCTCATCCTTACAACAACCCTTCTAGGTAGGTGCTGTTATTATTCCCATTTTACAGCTGAAGAGACCGAGGCAAGTGGAAGTTAAGTAGCTTGGGAAGCTTGCCCAGGGTCACACAGTCAGTAAGCGCCTGAGGCTAGATTTTAATTCAGTCTGGAGTCTGAGACTGTGGTCTTATTGACTCCAGGCCCAGTGCTTTATCCCTGATACCATCTAGATGGAATGTCCAGTTCAAGGAGCAGCAAGGAGGCCAGAATTACTACTAGACCATAGATTATTGAGGGAGGGGGGAGAAGGGGGGAGGAGAAAAGTGTAAGAAGACTGGAAAGGTTGGGAAGGCCTTTAAAGGCAAAACAGAAAATTTTATATTTGATCTTGGAGGAGCCAATGGAGTTTATTGAATAGACGGACAACATGGTCAGACCTACGCTTTAGGAAAATCATTTTTGTAGCTGAGTGGACGATGGACTGGAATGGGAAGAAACTTGAAGCAAGGAGACCAACCAGAAGGTTATTGCAATAGACGGTTTGCAGGGTGTTGAGTACAGCTGGGTGGTGCAGTAGATAGAGCTCCAGGCCTGGAACCAGGAAGACCTGAGTTCAAATCTAGCCTCAGACACTTACTAGCTGTGTGACCCTGGGCAAGTCACTTAATCCTGTTTGCCTCCATCTCCTTATCTGTAAAGTGAGCTGGAGAAGCACAGCACTCCAGTATCATTTCCAAGAAAACCCCAAAGACTGAAACAAAGAGAAGAAGGTCAAGGTCAGACCCTTAGAGGATATCTTTGATCACTGAGAAAGCACAGTCAGACAGGTAGGAGAGCCAGGAGAG